AGTTCTTCCACCCACAGATCACTAGTAATGGTTTCTGGTTAGCAGCTATACTATAAATGAATGTTATGTATGTCCTTGCTTATGTGCACACATGCATATATCATAGAATCATAGAATCATAGAATCGTTTAGGTTGGAAAAAACCTTTAAGATCATCCAGTCCAACCATTAACCTACACTACCAAGTCCACTCTAAACCAATCAAGGGTAGACTAGACTAAACCATGTCCCCAAGTGCCACATCCACCCGTTTTTTGAACACTGCCAGGGATGGGGACTCCACCACCTCTCTGGGCAGCCTGTTCCAATGCTTGACCACCCCTTCCGTAAAGAAATTTTTCCTAATTTCCAACCTAAACCTCCCCTGGCGCAGCTTGACCCCATTTCCTCTTGTCCTATCGCTAGTTTCTTGGGAGAAGAGACCAACACCCACCTCACTACAACCTCCTTTCAGGTAGTTGTAGAGAGCGATAAGGTCTCCCCTCAGCCTCCTCTTCTCTAAGCTAAACAATCCCAGTTCCTTCAGCTGCTCCTCATAAGGCCTGTGCTCCAGACCCTTCACCAGCCTTGTTGCATCTGAAGTTCTGGAATTTTTTCCATACTTCCTTTTGTTGTGGGGTCAGTCATGGGCTACTGATTGTTTTCTTAAAGCCAGTGAGCAATATTTAACACATGCTGCTTCGCCACTCTAATTTCATATCTATATCCTGCATATCAAAATGAAAAATCAGAAATTCAGAAATTGTTTTTCCCACAATTATCAACATTTTCAGGGCTAGTTAGTGCTGGTAAGCGTGAAAGTATATTGCTGTATTCATGTAGTTGGAGACACACCTATGCAGCTGATTTTTAACCACGGTAAGCAAGGCAGTCGGAATGGGATTTAAGATGAGGCACGTAATTTTTTCCAACACCTATATGAAAACCTGAAGCATTTGACAGGTGTAGATTGAGCTGCTGATTCAGGAGGCTAGTTTGTTGGGGGTTTTTCCCCCCCATTTTTGTTTTCCTCTGTCTATAAATCTCTAGCTGCAGCTTTGTATTGCTTATGTTTACAAAGTTGATGTTACATCTGTTCAAGGGAGAGATATTACCTCTTATTTAAAAGCAAAAAGTCCCATTAAAATGTACTCAACTTCAAGACAGAGTTTACAATTGCAAATCAAATATTAAATCCTGATCCCCCAGGGCTTAACTGTACCAGTGGTGAATGGAAACCCAGAGTGTGTATGCTAAAGTAAAAGGGCAAGGCAGGGTAGGGCAGGCCTGTAGCACTTCTAAAGCTTTGTAATACAAGTCATGACAACAATTATCAGGAAGTCCATTTTCTAGGCTTCAGTATTTTAGACTACCAAAGGGCTATCTATGTTAGGAAAAGATTATGTTAGGAACACACAACTCAACTGCTTCCTTTCATGCAGTGCTGAAAGGCAGTTAGTTACCTGCATTAGTAGGATAAGCAGTTTTTCATTGCTGTTATGGAAACAGTAATTAAAATGGTCTCAGCTGCCTTTGCTATAATCATGGTGATGCTGGAAATGTTTTTCTCTCATCTAAATTTTCATTTGAGGCCACTCACAGCAATATTTACTATAGAAACGCTCACCAATGAACTTTGTCTGAAGAAGGTAATTTTTCCTGTTAAAGAGACGTTTGAGCTTCTACAAGAAACGTTTTGATGACTACTTGATGCTTGACATGGTGAGGGAAATTGGGCAGACAGTTGCTGGATATGTGTAGGTATATCAGGTGTATTTCTCTGGACGTGATTTACCTCCAGTGTTTTTTTATGGAAAAAGCAGATCAGTGTAAAATACAAGACAGAATAACAGCTCAGAAGTTTTAAAACCCGTGGGAATGTGCCAGTATCCCACTCAGCACATCAGCTCTGAAGATGTTATGGTGTAGTGAAGAGATGACTAAGGAAGCACAGTAAAACACAAGCAAAATGAAGTTCTTCGAAGGAAGGCATATACCAGTTGACTGTTTCTATTTTTGAGCTGTTAAATGTTTTTAGTAGCACTGAAGATCAAAACCCAAATTGTTCATTTATGGCATAGGCCATTCTAACCAAAACTCTAGAGAGTCTGAAAATACTACAACCTACTTATAAACTCCCATTAGCAAGGTTTTTTTTTTGTTTTTAATAAATAAAGTCCCATAGAAACAGAAAGTATTTACAACTAGATCAAAATTCTGAATATAATTCACAAGAGAAAATGCTATTTTTTGAGAAAATGTTTTCGTATCCTCATAACAGTCATTTGTTCTAAATTAGTACATAGCAATTGTCCATTAAATGAACATTTTTCCCTTAAGACCTATTCTTGTAGAAAAGTATTTCAGGCAAAACTTCCTAACCATGATGTAACCGTTTAGAATTGGGACATTTCTGTGATTAGTAATTCACATAAAAATTAACATTTTCCATGGTTTGAGGAAAACATGATGAATAACTATCAAAATGTAGGAGAAGACAGGATGTAGGGAGAACAATATATTTTATTAGAGCAGCTTATACAGTTGAAAGAAAAGTATAGGCTTTTGGGCATTCAGTCCCTTCATCCTAATAAAGGATAACACCTGTTCCTGCAAAACTGTCTTCTCTCTTATCCTTAGACCATTATGACTACCATTGCACTACCACTCTCAAAATATATGGATTGTATACGTTTGTGTTGGACTGAATGGCTTAAACATCATCACTGCTAAACTGCCACTTGCAAAAATATTACCACTTGTAATAGAGAAGAATTAAGCTCTTTGAGTTAATGTGCTCCTTGGTTACACAGAAGATTTTCCTGTAACAAAGTCATTAACTTAATTTCATTGTTAGCATCTCTTCCACTGTCCTTTTCAAATAATTTTTAATATTACTTACATAAGTACATGCCCTAGAATTCTTCTTTATTTAAAACCAATTTTGAACTCATTTCCAGTGAAGCCAATGTAAAACTGGATTGTATAAGAAATGCAGGCTCGGATTAATAGGTTTTGCTGTGTGTTACTATCATAGGAATTCAGTGTTGGAGCTGTGGTCCTTCTCAGTGCCAGTTAATCTTTGATATGTCCTCCTACAGGAGGAGATAAACTCTGCGAATAAATAGAGGTTCTCTCACTAAGTGACAGATGGCAAAATTTCAGATGGCTAGTGTCCAGTGGAAAACAACTTAAAACAAGAAGAGAGAGAATATTTTCTTTTGAATTGTAACACCCACAAATTAGTGTGCATGTAATTCCTGTCAGAATCCAATGCTCAGCTAGCACAATGTGCCTGTCTTGAAACATGCAGGAAACATGCAATCTTGAGCATTAACATGCAATATTCCATTTGCTTTAGGGCAATCATTTCTAAGTTACCTGAAATGATCTCATTGCGAACTTAGTGAAGATCAAAGCTATTCACTTTAGCCTCACACTGACTTCATCTCAGAGCAATTTCATCTGTGGATTTTAAACCTTGAGGCTGAATGATCCAATTCTCCAAACTTCCTGGTGGGCATAATGCTTACTATTGACCATAGGCCCAGAGGTTATCTGAAATAAGTAGTAGGAAACATTTTCAGGTGTAGAAGGCATGAGCTGAAGGATTTATTCTAATATTTGCCTCTGTCAGCCTCTTCGTTGCACAATTTGCACCAACTTAGCTTTTCAAGGTCTACATTGGGAGTAAGGACAATTTATACTCCCCAAAAATCCAGTCTGCTCACATATACACTTACATTACCACTTGGTCCACTTAAATATCACCACTGAACTTGCCTCCCTAAGTTTAAGGCACACTTTTTGCTACATAAATAAAATGGTGAGCAAACTAAGGATATTCAATTGAGGACCGCTCCTTACTTCAATATATATGTTAGAATTAGTGGCTTTTTTTTCCAACATTCCCTCTTTGGGTCCACCAGTGTGGATCACACCTGCTTGACTTTGTCAGGGGTCACATTGACAAACAGTAAATGTGGGCAGGCTAAATGTGAATCTAAGGGAATCTCACACCAGTACTGAGAATACCAAAATAAGCTAGTGAAGTAAATTTACCTTCTGTTAAATTTATTCACTCTCCAATGCTTTGCTGCCAGTGGAAATCTTAAGTGACATTATAGGGCAACGTATAGAAGAAAATTAACAATCTTAACAGCAGCGAACATGTCACAGCATTCTTGTTCGCAGTGATAAACAATGATAGCTCAAGCCAAACTAACATAGTAGGGTTTCCATTACAGGTTTATGTTTTAAAGAATTAATTCAAACCTTGCTTTTGTTCAGGAGGAGTCACACTATTCCAATTTTCCATGACATTTTTGACTGAATACATTGTTCAATGACAGTTCATCAAATAGTTTGGGAAGGTCTCAAGCTAAGCGGTTTGTACAAACCCATTCCAACTACAGACTCAACAGAGTGACTGAAAGCTGCATTAGCACTATGTGCTGTGGCATGTGCCTTGGAGGCCATGGGGGGGCAGCTGCATGGCACCTCCACCCAGGCTGCTGCTTCACCTGCCCTGGACTTACATGAGCAGAGTAATTGAAAAGACTCTGCTTCCCTAGAGTGATAAGCAGTGCATATTCTTTAATTAATTAATTCTTGAAATGGCATCTAGTTTTTGGGTTTGCCCACAAATGATGGGCCTAATTCTTACTTACACTAAGAGCTCTTTACAGAGCTCTATCAGTGTAAAATTATATTACGGTAGGCACTAATATTGTCAGACCTGACACTTCTAACTTTCACCTTTTAAGCTCTTATAGGATGTTACACTAATCTGTGATTCAATTTTATTGTTATTTTGCTGCTGCCTTGGGAGCACAAAATCAAACATAATACTTAAAACATTTCCCTAGAAATGTTTAAGGAGAAAGATTTTTATTTTTAAGTTGAAAATTTAACTGCATGCTTAACCAACTTCAGTGAAGCATCAATCATACTGGACAAGCAATTTTAAGAAATAAGATAGTTTAAAAAATTAATTCTGAAAATACTGCCGACAATTTCACGATATAGATATTTTTAATATTAAAAGTAAATTGTAAATGTGTCTTTATAAACAATATGCATAAAATAGATCTACTATACTAAGCTCTCTCTTTTTAAATGCTGTTTCACAGTAATTTCTTAGGTATGCAAAGTTTTCCCTCAAAGAAATAGTGCAATCTGAAGAACATACATTATGTCAGCGGATTAGAACTACTATGGTCATTAATATAAGTCTTTATAGATTTCTTGTAGGAGTGGATGAAGACTCATATCTGTCTCCGTTTTCTTTATTATTTGCAACAGCTGCACATGTTCCGTTACAATCTGTCTGAGGTCCGTCATTTTCTGAAGCAACTTTGCAAACAGCTGTGATGATTCTGGATGATTCAGCTTTAGCTGGAGCTCCAAAGCTTGCAACAGATTGTCTTGTATATCTTCAATGGGCTTCACATTTAACAGACCTGGGCGATCTAGGGAAAAAAATAGGGAGTTGTAAGTTTATGAAGAATATGGAAACATCGATTTCATGTATTGATTTCTTTAAGATTTCTTAGTATATTAAGCATTTACATATGGCACTTCCTGAGAACTATTTGACAATTTCTTAATGTATTTATTGTAAGATCTTACTAGAATTTGCTCAAAGAAGTTTTAGAACTAGTCTTAGAAACAGTTCAAGCATTTGTGCGGTGCAGATAGAGACACATGTTTATACAACACTACAATGCCTTTTCCACAGTAAACTGGGAGTGCTTATGGAAAGGAAGAGTGAGATATAGTTGGGGGATAAACAGTCTGTATCAGGTAATTCACTTTTGGAAAATCAACATATACTCGGATAGATTTGCATGTAGTTCCTACCATTAAAAATGTTTCCTGCTAAGATGGATGCTAACCTATCAAAATAAAAAAAAGGCATAAATTCAACTTCTGCAGTCTCACTAACCTGGAAGATTTAAAAATCACAGCTTCAGCTCTTCTCCACACCCAAGTTCCAGTTGCTATTAAGAAGTCTCACGATAGCTTTTAGCATAGCTCATTAGCTTAGCCACACATGCTTATGGCAGTGGAGGACTGATAGATGTGGCTTGTACAGAAAATGCCTTTTCTGGGCTCATGCCAACAGAGAGTTCTCCTCCATATGGAGGAATCTGGGATGGATGTTTACAACTAAAGTCAGCTACTTGCACTGTCACAGCTGTGAAAGTCCAGGATTATCTTTGGCATATCTTATTCTTTGGCCAGAAGCAAAATCTTTCTTTTTTAAACATTATTATCTTTCATAATAATAGCTGTTCAACTTCTGTCTGTCCCCAAATACCTTCTTAAGTGGTTGCAATCATTATTTAACATAATTTGTAACATTTGTTTTCTAATTTGAGGTAATAAATTATTTGATTCTACAGCCATGAAAGTTAATAAAGTTGCTTAATATTATTGAATCTTCACATATGACAATGACCACCAGTGAATTGTTACTGCTAAACTACTTTATACGGGGTAACACCTCCTGATTATCAGCATACTCCATGAAAAAACAGTCAATAATTTATATAACATTTGCTGTGTAGCTATGAAATTAATTTCATAGGTTGATCAATAAAAAGCAGTCCTTATAGCTAGCCTTAAATTACTTCCCTAAGGCAGTATTTCCATTTCAGAAAGGACAAGAGGTTGATCTATATTAAAAATTTTAAAAATAGGCTGTTATTTCCTATGTTCTTATTAACCTTTCTGTGCATCCAGTTCTACTAACTCAGCTTGGCTTGTGTTGTATACTAGAAAAAAGGCTGAGAGAAAACAAAGCTCTTTATAAATACATTGGAGTTTTACTTCACAGAGAAAAAATTCCAGTGTAAACTAAAAGGGAAAGTTGGCATGAAAACAAACGAGTATACACAAGCCGTGAATACATGTAGGTCACTGATTAGGAAAGGGTAGTTAACTCTCAAAGAGGTGAGGTTTGTGGGTAGTTTTTCAGAAATAGTAATAACAGTAAATTTGAATATGGAGCTTGGTATTTGTTTGACAGTGGGTTTATGAAGGAACAGCTTTCGGTTGTAGGTGACTGGACTTAGTGACCCATTTGGCCACTGTTTCCATTTGGTATTTCATGCTAATAAGCTGTGCTTGTCTTGCAGACATCACTTATTGATACCATTCAACTGATAATACCATAAAATATGGTTCAGAAAGTCTGTAAGTAAGTATCTGCAAGCAGAAAATTGTCTCCAAACAAATGGGTCCTTTTTATTAATTTTCTTTGGCAATATTATCAAGTCTTCTTTTAAAGATACTTAGAGAATATTTTATAAATTTTAGATACTTATTTTTAGATTACCTAAATGCATTGCATGTGCTGCAAAATCTTGTTGCCTTCTTTATATCTTTCAGAAACTTCCCAACTTTCAGTACTTCAAAACTGTTAATAATTTTGGCTTTGGGTTGCGATAGCTTTAAATTTTACTTCTGTGTTGCAGATGAACTCTGAACTAGCTGGGTATGACTCAGTGTACAGTGATATAAAAAAAAAAAATCAAAAAGCACAAAGACTGTGGCCTTGATTTCCTTTGAGATTAATCTCCATTTGCCCCCTGCGTCTTTTATGGTGGGAATTTTTAGGGTGTGAGATTTTCAGAAGTGAAACCCAGTTGAAACATTATGCTCCCCAGCGCAACTGGGGAGGAGGAGTCCAGGAGCCAAACCCAGGAGATCAGTACTGAGACTGGAACTTACCAAGGAGCCCCCCGAATTTGGGTGCCCGAGGTCAGCTGAAGTTCAGTGAGACTTAAGCACCTAAAATCCTTAAGCTCCTTGAAAAACGCAGTCTAATGGTTTTATAATGACCCAGTGGAACTAAAGTCAGAAAAGATGACTATGACAAAAGCCTAGGAGATCATCAGATGTTATTTTTAAATAAGCCAATTTAAGAGGAAGGAAAATTCCCATTGAAGGCAAGAGAGATTTTTCATGAATGAGAACTTCAGGATATGGACATTAGTTTTCGGGTGTTGACAGTTTGCTATACTTTCTCAGTAAAAACTTCTTACAGAGGAAAATGCTGTTTCTGTTCCAAGAAAAAAAAAAAAATAAAAAAAAAAAAAAAAAAAAAAAAAAGAAAGGAAACAGAAGGCAAAAGCTTTAACATACAGGTATTATGGTAAATTTCAAGTTGTTAAGATGCTCTTAAATATATACGCTCCAGACTCATCGGGTTTTTGTAGCAAAAGGTGTATTTTGAGCAGTAAGGAGCTCCAGATAGATGTGGCTTGTAGGAAAAAAATACAACGGAAATGATTAACAGTAGGCCTTGAGAAAAATTTGGATAGAGAATAGCGAGAAACAGAAATGGGAGTAAACTAGATGTGATACTGTGGTGGAGGCCTTTGAAGAGGCTAAGCAAGTCAGAATGCTGTTTGAAAGCTCACAGAGAAAACAGCAAAGGGAACTGATGAGGGAAGTGAAAGACAAAAACGAATGAGTTGTAGCAGGACATTCTTGTGATACAATGAAATTAGGTTACAGAAGGCCAAAGGAAAGAGTTGAAATGACTAAGGTGAGAGATAACTAAAAGTGAATTGGACACCACTTTTAAACCTCTCTGCCACAGAAGATTATTTATTGAAATTTAGATTTTTTGTTATGTGCTATTTGCAACCTGCCTTTTATCCATTCAGACTAAGCCAAGAGAGCACCACATTTCTCTTTTTGTTATTACTTTATTCAGTTTTTGTTTAGGTTTTCATTCATTGTCATACAGCTGTTTCACTTGTTTTGAAAATTCTGCAGGAAACAGTTCTAAGTAAGAAAATGTTCACGGTGACTGGGAAAGGCTAATAGCCCCTTAGTTTTGAGCGCCAACAGTATGACTTTGTGTAAATTGATGTTCTATACTGTCTCAGGGAAAAATATTTTGTTTGTTTATTTACTTACGGATTTGGGTGCTTCTTTCATGTTCCTAACAATAATTGCATTTTTTTTCTGTTCATCACATATGAAATTGCCATCTGCATGCCTTTACTCATACCTTTATATTTTCATATCTTTGATTAAATGCATTTTGCATTTAAATACACATTCTAAAATCTTAAAGTGATAAAACAAAGATATGGCTGACTGAACAACTATGCTACTTCTTTTGTTGAGGCAAATATGACTCAGCAGTTTGAGGTTTTTCTTCTGAGACTGTCACATGTATTGTAGTCACCAGGATTTTGGTTCAAAGCCCACAGTGATTATCTGCAGTTCTTGGTCTGATTAGGAAGCATTTCTTTGCTCTAACAGGTTTGCTAGAGCAGGAGTTCTGTAGCTGTCAAATATGAACTATTTCTTGGCACTATTCAGTGATAAAACTTCAAATTTTGCTGATCTCAGAGTGTAGCAAAATTATTGAATATAGTGTTTAAACAAGCAGCAGTGATTCACAACTCAAAATTTACTGTAAAGAACACACTCAGAAAACAGAAGAAGTGAATGTAGCAACATTTCTGAATTTAAGTAAGAGTTTGACTACGTGTTGACTAACAGTGTCTGGTCTTTACAAGTATACCCTACTACAATTTCCAAACACCACTATATCCTGAACACTGCAGAAGATATACAAAAGTTCAAGTCCATCCATGATACGTAAACACACTACAAAATTACCTTTTGAGCTTTTTCTTTATTTGACAACAACCTGCTTGAGTGAGTTTGCTGTTTCCAAATGTACATTATCCCAATAAGGCTTGGACTATAATCTTTCTTGCCTAAACACAGACATCCAGCTTGTTCTCCTTAAACCTTCTTCTTATGATAAACTTAATTTTCAGCTCAGGCATATATAATATTTTTAAAGATGTTTTAAGTTCTTTAACATGTATACCATGGCACTCACTACTAGCTGAGCATATGCCTCAATGGCATGGAGGAATACAATAGGGAGGAAGAATACCTCCTTGAAAAAAGTTTTCCAAATCTCATTTTACCAAAGCACGTTTTTCAAAGTTACCATAAGTAAAAGAATGTTGTAACGAGAGTTTGGCATTGCTGTTAATGGCATAGAGCATTTCTTCTGTAAAAACAAGGTAATATCCTACTGCTCGCTCACACAGTCTCTCTGTCTCATCAGCATTATATTCAGAATACTAAAATTAGTTTGCCACTTACAGTATTACTTTAAAGTGCAACATACTAACATTAAGAACAACTCTTCAGCTTTGTAATAATGAGTTCAGAGTAACATTTGGAATCATTGAGACACAGTGAGGCTGCACTGAGCAGCTCAGAAAGAATAAAATGACTGACTGTGGAAGTGGGAGTGCTTTCATTTTGTTGCTATTATAGTTAATTTGTCAGCTTCTTATTACTGTTATATAGGCATTTTGCCTTTTTACATATAACGCAAAAGCAACTGTTTCGATATCAAAAGGCTGAACTGTTTCATAGGATTTGTGGCAAATTCCAAACACTTCACAATGAAAAGCTTTCTACATGTAATGTTCCAGCTGGAATTATCTTTCTCTCTCCCTTCGCTCTTCTTCTTTTTAGAGCTGCATAAGACATAGCACCCATGGAGCCAGCAGAGCTCACATAATTTCGCTAGGCAATGACAGATTCACTTAGAATTAGAGTGTTTGGCTGGGATCTTTTTTTGTTTCACAAACTGATTTTCTTTTAAGATATTTGTACACAGGATTTCTTGAAGTGACTTAAACATTACAGTATTCCTGCAGCTAGTAAAGTCCTTGAGGTAATATGAGCTGGTTTTGAAATCCTATTTGCAATGAAATCATGCTGGTTCGATATTCATATAGTTATTATAAAAATTAAGTTCTGTAAGAACATAGCTCTTGGAGAAACAAGAGCGTCTGAGACATCTGAGAAATAGGATTTCAGTTCCATACCACATAAGATATTATGGTGCCACAGAATGCATACAGTTCAATACAATCATATCTGACTATAAATTCCATGATAAAAACCACTCTCTTAACTGGCAGCAAAGCTTAATTGTTCTCAAAATATAAACTCAGTTTTTACAAATAACTATCATGCTTTTTTGAAAAAAAAAAAATCTGAATAAAGATGGTGAGAGATCTTTGTTATAAAGAAATTAAAGGATTTTTCTAGAAAGGACTGATTTATATTTATATCGATTTATATATGGATTTGCTTCAGAGTTACTTAAGAACTAACTATTAAAATTCAGGTAGTTCTTTGTGGATCTCTGTTTACAAATTATTCTTAAAAAAAGACTTGTTGATAAATCTGGTTCAGCATAGTCAAATTTTTTGCTGTAGATCATTGTCCTCCTGAGATCTAAAATGTGAGATTAGTTACATCATACCTATTTCCTCTAATGTAAACCAAACATCACTGAAGTATAGCAGACCTAGCTTTGCAGATTGCAAGTTCCCTTTTTCAAATTAGGAGTGGATTTTGAGAGGCCTGTTTCTCATCTGTCAAAATTCATTATATTAGAAAATGCAAAATATCAGCATGTTTTGTATAGTGCCCTCATAAGGCTTGTATAATTTCTCCTCCCCCATCAAAACCAACCAAAAATATACCAGTAACATATTTTCCCTTCCTAAATCAATTCAGAGTCCCCAGGGATCATTGTGTTAAAATATTTGCACAAGAAAATGTCTTTTGGGAACTGTACTTGTTTGAAATGGATTTAGTTAGTCTAATAAACCATATTGTGATACCACATTTTTACTGAACGAAACACAATGCCCAAAGTAATTGTACATGATTTTAAATGAAGCTATATGTAACAATGCATTCTCAACAGAATGTTCATTTTTAGAACAATAGCATGTGGTTGTTGTGTTTGATTGCTTAAACATAATTTAATAACAAAATACTCGGCATTGCTCTGTGGAGAATCTGAATTCAGAACATTCAGCACATTCCTCCCATTGATATCTGCAGTACCATTCTAAGCCAAAGTACACACAAATCAGTTGGGTAAAATTTTCTTTGTGCGACATCACTAACTTGATAGTATTGGCCAAAGTAAATGACCTTCAATCTGACCTGAAATATATATCTGCTATCTCAGATTCTCGGTGGAAAAGTTTCTAAGTGAACTAAATCTGGGTAGCAGTCGCAAATTCACAAAATGTAATAGCTACATCACCTCAGAATCAGATAGAACATACTGGCAGTCTTCAATGCCTGTCTTTTTTCAGGCATTAGGAGACCATCATTTTCCTGAGAAAGGCATTCTTTTTTACCCCCCTTTTAAAGGCAAAGAAAGCGTTGCATGAATGAAAAACCAACAATAAAAAACCCCCACCATAAAATCCTGTAAGCCAAATGCCACATATATTTTGAAATTGTTATGGAGTCAAAGCTATTTGTGTACAATTAGCAAGCCACACAATCTAATTGCAGGTTTAAAAAATCCTCATGCAGAATTTTAACTTTTAGAAGCTCTTGCCAGTGAAATTCCACTCTTCCTGTTTTCAGAAAGAGTCCTGATTTTGTTTTCTAACTAAATGAACTGCTGATTCAGCAGGCATTCCAGCTCCATCATTAATATCAGGTCATTTACATTTTCACTTTCTGCCTGAAACTGAAAAAAAGGCAAACAATGTCAAGAAAGCTGAAAACTAATAAAAAACTGCGTGTAAATAAACTCACTCCCATCCCGTAGTGCTGAGTACTTTCCTGGTTGGACAGGAAGTGAAAGTGTCAATTCTATTATATAAAATATAATATTAAATAAGACAGCACTTACCTCCACTTAGTATAATGACAGCTATAAATATTGCCAGGTCACTGTCATCTAATTCCAGTGCATTGAACTTCACAGCAAACTCAAACTTGGGCTCCATAAAGTCACAAAAAGGTTTTCTCAGGCTCTTCAGAAACTCCCGTGTCATGAATCCTTGTCCATCAGATATAAGAACTCCATCTTTATTCATCAGAGATGCCAGGAGAGTATATATGATCTCATGGACCCCATATTTCAGGAGAGTTACTTGATCATTCAGGTCAAGATTCACAAAACCTGGAATGTTCTTGGCAAATTCTGTAATCTCCTGCACTGCCTCCACAGAGCGAAACTGACATCGCTGGAAAATGCGAATTGCTACCTCTTTGTTCTCCTCCTGCAGCGGTGACACATGCTTACACTTGATCTGATCTTCTCCCATCATTAAAGAGTTCATGTCATAAATAACAAATGGCTAAAAATAAAAGGAAAAGACAATTTACTTTCAAATGTCCTTTCTGTGAACATTTGGCTCCTGAGAAACTGAAGTAGCATACAGAGGTGTAACTCATCAGAAAACACTTCTATGAGGAATATATCAAGGGTAGTTGACCCCAAAGGGTTAAATCTTCATAAACCTATTAAAGCAACTATCCTCACAATGTTAAAATGATTTACAGAAAGGACAAGTAGTTCCTAAGGACTTCTCACATGTTCCGTGAAACCACATTCTAAAAATAGGACTTTGATACTTTTTTTTAATAATTAGGGGAGGGGAGTAAGGAACACTATTTTAAAATACCCATGATTTTTGCCTTTTCTTTTGTTCTTTTTTTTTTTTGCTTTTTTGTGTTACAGAAGTTCTGTAATACCAGAATTCAAAGTTTGGAATGCTTAATAACAAAAGGTTAAAATGTTACTCCTTTTACCTGAATTTTACTGGCTTCTATAAAACAGAATCCAGTAAGTGTACAGTGACATGTTTGCACTTCTGATAACATAACTTCTTTTTTGTAGAAAGACAGAGTATATTCACATTTTGATTACTTCACATACTGTCATGTTCTTTTCAAGTTCTATCCTTCTAGAAAGTGCTGCAAGTAATACCAACTTTATGGTATTGATTACCTGATAAGTGTAACCTTTTGCTGTTAATTCCTTAAAAAATAACAAAGTTAGGATATGTTTAAACTTAAACAACTTGTCAATGGGAAAGAAAACACAAATAACATGACACAAACTACAGCAGCACAGTTCAGAACACAAGAATGAGTCTGACTGTCAAATAAACTCAACTGGAATAAATCAATTTTGAAAGCAGATTAGAAAAAGTAGTGCCAGGAAAACTTTGTTAGGATCTGGAAACAATCTGTTTCAGAATAGCAGAAGCAGCTCCTGGTTTTAAAGAAGTGGTTAAGTGAGGATTTCTTGAATTTATCTGAAGAATTTTTTCCTTAGAGAACAAATGACTAAATAGTTCATTGCTGCACTGAACAAATATCTACTGATATTAATAGGTTTGTTAACATATTTGATTAATTAATTAACTTACAAGGAATTATACACCAACAACTGGACTACAGAAATGCATTTTTTAATTTAAGATCCTTTATGATTACAGATTCTAATGCCTTAATCATAAGGGTGCTCATTCTCATAGTTTTATATTCATTATAAGCTGCAGAACAGACTCAAAAATAACCCAAGCCTTCCTATACATAGCCAGCGGTCCTCTCCCACAGAATCAGCTTCTGGAAGCTCCTAAAATTCTATTTCTATTTGAGGATTTCAGCTTTCAAAATGGTTTAGTTAAATCAATATTCTGCTGCTTACAAGACCAATGAAACTAGTGCTGTCACTTTCACAGTAACCACAGGTAAACGTAGCTCCAGACCATAAGATTTAGTTTGAGTGTGAGGTATGACACTATTTGTCCACTTGCACCAGGATTTCAGTGTGAAACTGAAAAAATAAAGACACTGCACTTAGAAAAGCCAGGAGGATAAGTTATTTTTCAAGAAGTAATGCTATTTTGGCAGCAGAAAAAACATTTTATACGTATCTGTACATATGCACGCATATGCAAAACAGTGGAATAACAAGACTGTAGAGGAGGCTTTTAAAATGCATGGTTTAGTACTAGTAGGTCATTCCTTCCTTTTCTTTCTCGAAAATCTTAAGTGGGAGCACAAAGTACAATAAAAAGTCATCTATTCTGTGCATGTACATATGCTTTAGAAAGACTACACAATGCCACCAACCTACTGACATTAGAAGATGAAAATCAAGAAACAGTTCAAAATAGCTAAAGACATTTTTAAAATAAAGATTCAGATGAACTTTGTGAGTAGACTCTTATGTCAAATGAGCACTGTATATCCCAGAAGAAGATGAGTTAGCCATTTTAGTTTTGACACACTTACTTAGCATATCCAATAATTTTCAGTTAATGCAGATGATATAGCAATTAAAAAATAACATAAATTTAAACTATGCCCATAGTAAGCAGTTTGATATTCCAGAGAACCAAGTACATTACAGTTCAAATAACATAAAAGTTGTAACCATGAAATACTAGTGTCACTCTTTCAGCGTTATTTTTTTAAAAAGACTTGAAAATTTGCAGCAATGAAAAACTGAATTCTATGTCTTGTTTTATTTCTATATTCTAATCTGGCAAAATTTTAAAACTTTCAATAAAAAGGTAGAACGTCATTGATAGCATACTATATATTTACTGCACGAGTATTGCATTAGCATAACTTTCAGATGTGACCAAGTTACGTAAGCCCAGGCATTTGTTAAGTACCCAGCACAGCAGAGCAGCAAACCACACACCAGTTGATTTCTATGATAACTTCATAGAACCTTACAGAACAAAAGTAGGATTTGTGGATGCACTTGGGACCTCAGAAACAAACTTCCCAGATTTCTAAACACACGTCCGGAAAAACAGAAGATGACAGCACTGTAGGTAACCCTGCCCAAATTTCTGTTACGTTCCAGAGCATGCACAGTGGGCAGCTGCAGAAAAAAGGAGCAGGCCTCCTCGTGACATTTTTAATAAGAGGAGGAGTAAAAAAGATATATAATTACACACCCCAGTTCTATTCTGTTTCCCAGTGCGGGTACATAGTTATTAAGAACACACAAAAAACTAAATTGCTGTATTAATTCTTTCCCAGTAACCTATGTTTCTGATAAGAGAGGGAACTGCGAAAAGACTTGGAAAAAGCAATGACCCTCAAGTGGACTTAGCGTATCAGCTTTCTGCAGAACAAATACACTGTGCCAGTTCAAACTTTATACACTCCACGATGAAAAGTTACTCAAATTTTAAGTGTCCACAATATCTGAAGTTTTTATGTGAGGGGTGCAACCAAATTAGGGACAATATTTAAATTATGATTTTAACTGCCTTGAAAGAAAGAAAGCCTCAAAATTCTTTCCTGTCCTTGAAATTATTAAAGAAAATAAAATACAGTCTCTGTTGTAAAACTGACAATAAAATTTCTGCCAATCATTCTAGAAAATATATCAAATTAAGAGTTATTAGTTTTGGAAAACTGTTCCGCTCTTTAGGTATTAAAATAGTGACAAAATTTAAAACCTACCATAATTATCAGATCTTATTTATCCTCCTTCTCACTGATACAGAAGGTTGTTATGTATTGCCAGTGAAGTTTCCAAAGCAACCCACAAATACACATATCTCTGTTCCTTACTTTTAGAAGATTGTCTTGTACTTTCTCCTAAAACTCAAATTGTACCAACACAGGATACTGATCTGATCCAAGATAACCCAGTTAAATGCAGGAAGTCATCAGAGCATCATAAGCATCATAGTTAAGGTTAGCAATGGTGTTGGTATTGGGAATCATTTGACACATGAAAAAGAATACTCCTTTGGGTTCAGCTGGTACTGTAATATGCTATGATAATCTGCTATGATATGGATGCTTGAATAGTATAGCAACTGATTCCTCACAGCTAGATAGCCACCTTAAACAGATAGTGTGGAAGATAACCTTTGGTAAAGGAGGAGGAAAACGGGAACAGTGGATCAGAGAATACAAAAAGGTTAAGATGACCTTCAAATTCTTGTACTGGTTTCAAGTATTTTATTAGGTGAACTTGGAGTTTTTTCAAATAATGTTTACTTATCCTATCTAAAAACATTTCCTGTGTTTCAGACACAGCTTGAAATATGTAACTGCCAACAGCAAAGTTTTTGGTTTTTGTTTTGTTTTGTTTTTTTAAAAAAAAGATGTGTTGTCAATGTGGTAAATCATTTACTCAAAAGAAAGAAAAAAAAAAAACAACAGAGGAAACTAACTGATTTGTCTGTCGTCTTTCCTGTCAAGATCGCCCTCGCCTTGGCTTTGGTCAGAGGGAAAGACTTTATGTATGAGTCATACAAATGCTTGGCAAGTGCTCGTAGATCAGCAGATTCAGGGTTTAACTGGTCGATGTCGCTGGAAATCTCTGCCAAGAGCTTCTCCTTCTCCGCTTGTGGCATTCGACCAAACCTGATGGCTGAAGAAGATGACAAGCAATTACTATAGCTATAGTTGCACCTAAAAAAGCATATTTGAATAACTTTTTATGTCACCTTTTGTTATGAGCTCTTCAAATTTTTATTAAAACAGTATTTAGGCAAGTAAGAGAAAGATGATTTTCTCCAGTAATCTAGGCAAAACAGCTGAAGTGCTTTAAATAAATGTAAACAAACAAATCTCAAAGAGGAAATAATTTATGTGCCCAAACAGTGAGATTACAATATCTTGCTTGGAAATGCAAAACTATTGTTAGCTCACCTGACAGAGTTGTTGAAAACCACTGATTCTACCTCCAATCTAAATAAAATATAAAGAATCTTTAAGATATTAAAATTCTGTTGGCTTAGGGTAGGAACCACCATTCAGCCTTGTGTTGTTTTGGGCAAATCACTATATGGATCTCAGATTCTTTATTTGTTTAGAAACAAAACACTCACATGCCTTGCAGGAATAAATTTCTAAATAGTTCAACAGAACTAAATGTAGCAATTGCTATAAAATGTTACCAACAGAATTAAGGAATGAGAAAGAAGGTTGTGCAGGGAACAAAAAAGCCAGAAAAGGCTGAGTTCTTCATGGTAACTCTATGTACATGCAGTATTGAAAGAACAGGAAACGGTTCTACCTAGTCATATGATCTCACAATTGCTCAATACCAACGTAAGGCAGGCTGTAAACCTCCTACTTTTACACCTATGTACTTACTATCCAAGACACTATTTATTCATATGGGGACTGACTTGGAAAATATTTCAAATGAGCCATCAAGGTCAAGATTGATTTATCATATGGTATTTCAAAAAACAGAATTTATTTTATTTTACGAAAACAAAACAGAACAAAAGAGCATCAAAACAAAAAATAGAAGAAAAAATAAAGGATTGCATAAAATGTATAAAAAATGATATAAAACAAAAAAGAGAGTTCATATTTGTACTTAGTGTAACCTAAGTAAAACCATGGAAAACTTCAGCATAACTACAAAGGAACTAATTCAGCTACATATGCTTCTATGAACACTGTGAATCAAGACCATTTTGGTATTTTCATTCTGCAGTTAAAATAGATTCTCTCACTATTAAAAATTCTTATTTGTAGTTAACACAAATCCTTTGAGTTTTTTTAAAAAAACATGCATGCATGTTGATAATATTAAACCCATGATACTAATATCTGCATTTCAGACATTCTTGAAGATGTAAAATGAAGTATTTAATGAAGTAAATATAATGAAAACTCACTGAGAATATTTTATAGTATTTACAGATTTTTTTTTTTTTTGGTGACACTTAAGGACTGATTCAATAAAAAGAATCAAACTGTCATCAATTTAATAACGCTAATATATATTATTACATACCTATTGTAAGAAGTTGTTACAGGCACAGCAAGTATAACTAAAATGTGGGATCAAGAAGGTGTTAAAATAATAATATAGCTAATAAAAGTGTTAAAGGTTAATTAAAAGTCCGTGTTGATCAGTGCGGCTAGACATTTGTTAAATTAATATTTTCATTAGAAGCTATTATGTTCTTCACTAAACCTGGTTTCAGATTGAATATTAATTTAATATTAAATTTGTGACATTCATAGGATTATGTTTTATGATTAATTCGTCCACTTTTCAAATGTGCATTTTGCAATAGCTTAATCAACAGAAAAAAATCTTGTGAAATATTGATGCTTCTGATTGGGTTAATACTTTTAATATTTCATTTACTGTAAATGGTTCTAGAGTTAGGTGCCTTCTTTAACTCATTTATTTTTATTTTGTTTGTGATGGTGATACTTATTTTCCTGAAAAGTGTTTTGAGATCTCTGCATTAAAAGTGCTATAAAAATCAAATACTATTTATTACTTTGCTATTTGTTTCAGTAGTCTTCCTTGTTGCAATCATATCTAATTTTTTATTTCCATGTGTTTAAGAATTTGTGTAATTTTTATATACAGTCAAAAACCCCTGTGAATGTTAATGTTAAATCAGAGCATTGTCTTCACTGTGCTAAATTTTATGAATGCAAGCACCTTCATGTATAATCTGTTTTGGAGTTAAAGCCCAAAGATGTGGAGGAAGACTATATCAAATGTTACATGATTAAAGCTGCATAGAAATTTGTTATATATTTTTAAGGAATATTTGGCACAGGTTTGGCATGGGGCCTCATGATGCTAACTCTTCTACGAAGATCAGATTTCTGGTTTCTTTTAAAAAAAAAAGATTATTTTAAATTCCTTTTTTGTAAATGAAAAAGGAAAAAAAGCCCCACAAACAACAAAAGAAATAAGTACTACTGCGTAGGATAACATTGAATTGTATAGCAAGTCTGTTAAAATGCCGAGGAGATAATTTTGAGAGAAAATTAGCCTGTATGTTGTTATATGGTAAACTAGGTCATAAGCATTAACTTCTGTTCTTGAATGCTTGCATGCTGCATTCAGAATTAAGTTGGATATAACAAAACAAGGTTTACCCATAGCACAGAAAGCTATTACATCTATATCAAATCAGTCCAAACTACCTGTTGTTATCAATGTGCTAGCTGATTAGCTAATCAAAGCAGTATAGTAGGGGATTATCTCTTACTGGCCTAAACCACCCATCCTTGGTTTAACAACCCACTTGAGTGGGATTGCCAGCTATCAGATCACATGTCTATCAGTTCAGCAAAACGACCATTAATATTAGCAGAGTTTGCATTTAGCAGATAGGACCAAGACTTCTAAACACATGAATTGACTTCACTAAGAATGGAAATGAGATCTTACTGTTTTCTGTACTATATAAATCCTCAGGGTGTATCTTGTTGCCTGCCATCATAATATTAAACTTCTACATAAAATAATTTGGCCATAATGAAATCCCTCAGGAATCTCACAATATTTTTTCATGTTTAGTGTGTGAAAACTGTGCTTGAGGTAAAGTTTGTTGTGCATCTTTACTTTTGTATGGACTGTATGTTTATTAGCAATGTATTATTTCCACATGTGTTTGTTTCTTTCTAAATGTATGTTTGTAGGACAGATTAATAGCAGCGGATCTTTCATGATCCACTTTCAAACACTGTCCCTATTTCATAAAAATGTGTGTCTTGGAAGCTTTCTGATGTAATTCATGAATTATGAGAATAAAGTTTCCTAAACAAAAGGTGATCAGGACCCAAAAGTATATTTTAAATATAGCAATTCATTAACAACATAAAGTTAGAGAGTTGCAATTCAAACATTCCTGTCCTATAATTTGATAGGCAAAGGGACAGTTTTAAAATATTTTTTGAATGTTTAAGAATATATTTTATAAATATTATATTAGTTGCAGCAGATTCTGTTCAACATTTATTAGCATTTTAGGCAAAACTTGGGGCAAAATTCAATTTTGTGGTACTAGCCTAGTAGTTTCCTTTTGGAGAAGTCATTGTCACTTTCAGGGGACAGACAAAAGTCAGGGAGAGGTCAGGCACCAGGAGGTTTACAGAAGGAATTTGGAAAGCGGGATTTTGGGCAAGAGGAGAAGCAGGAGGGATGATACTTACAGAGGTTAGGGTGGAAAAAGGAGAGTTCACAGGGTAGATAAGTGTTCACTGCATTTCTGGTGGTTGAGGAAAATTTCAAGGATGGGTGGCATGATCTTCTCCCTTTTCTGCTTCTTTCTCCATCTCCCTCCTAGGACCCTGACCTCATCTTCTATTTCCCTGGACTGCTTATCCTCCTTGCCACTCTATCTTCTCTCTCCTCCATCTACCCTCACAGCAGGCCCAGCTTCCTTACCTCCTGGGAGCCTGGGAAGTGGATCAAGGCAGGATCTGTAGGGATGGGAAGGGCAGGGACAAGCCAGCAAGCTGGTATAAGAGATCTGGAAATATGGCTCGCTGCTCATGCTGTAAGGGTCAAGGGGTTCAGATGGCAATTTCTTTCACATTAATAGAAGATTGTGTAAGTTTGGGCATGTGCCTGCAGCTGGAATGTATGATCTCTCTCTTTCCTTTGGCAGTTATTTCTTTAACTTGGTATTCTCCAAATGTCAGTGATATAAAACCAATAGTGAATGTAGTAAGACGCTACATTATATTATTTCCTTTTCTATAGAAAAGGTAGAAAATTTATCCTTACACTACATTTTATGGTTTGGAGAATTCACTTATAGACTGTTATAGTCTATAGACTTATAGACTGTTCTGTACATCACTCTTCTGATTGTCTAGATTATTTTTGAGCATAAATGACTCCCCAGATAGACTATAAACACAATTTCTTACACTAGAAAACACAATAGAGAGCCAGGGCAGATACCTGTCTGAGTCTGCTGGAGGCATGTGCACAGATTGAGCAGTTCACTGCTCCCAGAACTGATAACAAAGACATATTGCCATATGTGCTCTTTTTCCCATTACAGTAGTTGGTTTTATATAAATAGTACTTTTAGTAGAAGAGAAAAAATTAATGAAATTTCTAAAATAAAAGAACCAAGCTTCTGTTTAGTGGTACTTCAGAATATAATCTGAGCAGTTAAGGGTTAAACACAGGGCAGCACTGTGGCTAGAGAAGGAAAGGAAAACAATATTCAAAGCATGAGAACACTACTGTCTCTTTTAACCTTCAGCCAAGTGGTATGTACCATTCATACGTGAAAAAATGTGGCTGTAGCTGCTAAGTGTCTCCTTGCATTCCCCATTTTTGTAAGTGCCCTATTCATTTTGCAATAATATATCTATGCAAAGACAGCCATAGATTGGAGCCCTCAGGCACAAATAATCCACATCCTGATTCCAAGCATTTAAAGTTCAGATAGTTTCATTACCCAAATGGATGAACTTTAATCTGTAGATGTAACATAAAAATGTGTCTCAGTGTCATTGACAACATCTAGTGTTGCATTTCTGCATGCTTCTTTATATAGGCCTGCATCTTCAAAGGCGAAATTTAGTTCTTTTTTGTAAATTTGTTTGTTTATAAATGATGGAAGAATGAGGGTGTTGTTTCATGAAATGTAATGTAACCAGAGTGGGAGAAAAAGGCAAATGTAGAAGCCAATACTTGAATATAAACACTAACTCCCTGTCAGGTGAACTCATGGTGAGAGCAAATGAAAGCATTTCTTCAAGCCCTGGGACAAATGGCTTTGCCCTTTCCCCCCTCTTCTCTATGCCTCCCCCTGACTCCCATAACCATGGCTCCTGCTGGTGCCACAGCTTCTGCCTTGGCAGTGGCTGAACAGGAAAAAATGGCGGGTAAAATGTTAATTTTAGAAATATTTCTTGAGCCCTTTATGTTACTAAGCCAGAGAGAATGGTCTTGGCCTTCCTCTTCTTGATAGAGCTGCACATGGTTCCCATTGACATAAATGGAAGCCGTGTTGCTAGGTTATAAGAGAATTTGGCATGCACCTTGAAAATAGTAATAATAATAAAACCTCCTGAATTACTATAAAAATACCCACAGTAGCATTTCAAAATGAGATTTATTTTTAAGCATTACTGTTGCATCCCAGGAACTTGAAAACCATATTTTCTATTAGCAAAACATTTCCCATACCAATTTACATTCACTGCATGTATTAACTTTGCAAACCACAGTAAAACTTTCCTCTTGGGGACAGTACACTCATTTTTTATATTGAAAATAATGAAAGTTCTAAAAAAACCACAGAGAAATTATTTTCCCAGTCATGTTTGCAATTCTTTACCCTCAGAATTACATAAGTCTCTATGTTATGACATTTAATTCCTGTTTTTACTCAACTTTGCCAAAGCAAGGCAGCGAAGAATCTTCATTATGTCTTTCTGTCCAAACATTCATAAGTAAGTATTTCCACATGAATTGATATGTTAATTTTAAAGCTCAGTGGGACTATCTTCTAAATTCTATGCAAGAGAGCAGTATCATGATATGCTTAATGCTATCTGCCTACCTACTATAAAGGCGGCAATCACAGAACCATACGCAATTGCAATCACCTTTGCAATCTAAGACTACAACATATTCAAAATGGAAATGCTGCTTACAGTTCACAGATGGGAAGGGATATTCACCTCTGGATGGTGGAGAGGTCAGACAGTGCATATTACACAGGAATCACAGCTATACACACTACACAATGAGAGGCCAACAGCTGAACAGGCATGTTAAGAAACACTACGCTCCTACTTACCACACATTGGAATCTATGCCCAGATGTGGGTATCCTAGGAAGGAGGAGGACAGTTTGGTTTTTTTTTTTTAAAAACAGAACAGGGTCTGGCCCATTAATTTGAAGTATGTTGTGTTCCAGTATGAGGAAGTGTTAACTTAGTGATGCTAACAGTCCTCAGTAAGTGTCCTATGCATCGAATTCAAGTTGTTGTTATTCACAAAGTTTTGCTAAATTCTCTAGTCCATTTTTCATAACTAAATTAAGTTTTCTTCTTACAGGAAAGGGATATTGATCTACAGTATGCAAAAGAGTCTTGTCAGAAAATAAGACAGTGAAATGAAAAATAACAATTACACTAGGAATATGTTCAGGAAGAACAACCAATGGTGTAATGAGCAAGAATGATGGAGAGTAAACCCAACTCATACATTATATTATGTATGATATCAATAAGTGCAGATCTCTAACTATCTGATTTTTATATTGAAAGTAATCTCCAATCATATGCAGTCTCCTAAACTCAGAGGCAATCTCTCTGATATGTATTTCTAAACTGCCTAATGTAAAGAAACAGAAGACTCTAGATGTTAAAGCAGCACATTCAGTAACCATATTAATGTTTCATGTTATTTTTCAGATGAAACATTATTGTTTTAAAATATGCTATGTGCACTTACCGTTATGTGACATTCCAACGGCAAGGCATTTCTGAAATCTGCAGTATTGACATTTATTTCTGCTTTTCTTATGGATGCGGCAATTAAGATCACACCTGTCATAAATTAGCTTTAATCTGATTGTTCTTCGAAAAAAGCCCTGGAGTAAACATAAAAACATGTAAAAGGCTGCAAGAAACTGCCAGTGTCATCATCTCACTTCTCTATACATACAAAGTACTTTCTCTATACATGCTGAACCTAACTTTGTTTTAGACAGGTTTCCAAAAGAAGCAAGGCTCATGTGATCATACTGTCTGCTTCTCAGTGTGCTCCTGTTCTGATGTTATTAGCCACTTTCAACCTAGTTCGACAGAGGGGTAAAAATCTCAAATAGCTGGGGAAGCTTATGGAAATCAATGGGGTTTAAAGGACATTGGGACGTAGGTTGAGAGCTCTACCGACGTGCTGAGCATAAGGAACACTATGCCAAAGGAAGCGAAGCTGCATTTGTTCCCTTGCTCATGGGACAATTTGTTATAAAGTGAACATGAAATTTGCAAACTGTAAAGTTCACTACCAATGTAGAAAATTTTTTATAAAACACAACAAACCCAAAATTCTGCCAACAGAAGTTGGCAGCTGCAAACAGCAGTTTAATCTCAAGTAAAAAAAAATTATGGGTTATCTGTTTGTTTAAATTTTCTTTCCCATGTAAGTATTTTTTTATTCTATTTCAAATATTTCTTTTCCTTTTTGAGCCTGAGTACTTAAAAATAATTTATATTTTTTCATCTATTCTATTTCTTTGTTTTTGCAAAGTGCTGAATTAATTTTGCAATATTTATTTCTGGGTTCTATTTTCTAGGTTGTTTTACTTTCTAGTTTATCTCTATTGTTTGGATATTACAAGTTTGCAAAGTACACCGGCACATTAAAAATCCCAAAACTTGGTCCCAAACTCTTGGAAATTATTGCACAGAAGTCTTATGAAGTCTTATAAAGAGAGAAATCATTACGGAAATTCACAATGCTGTCTTTTTATAGTTTAAAGATGCTTTCTCAGATCACTCGTAAACAATTAATAAAGTTTATCCAAATTTATCACCATTTGTTCCTTGTAATAATTAATTTTTTCTCTCACAGTGAATAATAAAAATAAAAGCATAATGCCAACTCTTATTTATATAATTCACTGTAATTTAAGTAACCAACAGCTTACTTGTTGTTTTATGTATGTTCCTAATTCAGAGCTACAAATTTTATTTAAGCTCTGCATCAGGTCTTTCCTATTAGTTATTTTCCTCAAGATATTGAAAATAGAGAAAATGGGAATTTCACATTAAACTCTGTAATATTTTTCTTTGAACTCAATGAATTATTATTAACTTCTTTCTCTTGCATTTCTTTTCTCAATCCTTGAGGATGGTCAATTTTTACACCATTAGTTTTTCATTTACGTGTTATAAACACTATCACTGACATTAAAAAAAAAAAAAGCCAGTGGAGTTTTAAATCAGAAAGCCACATCCTTTAATACCATTAGACTTTTCTGTAGTCACCTGAAGATGTGTAAATTGTGTAAACAACCTCTTATCAACCAGAATAACAGAGTCTGAATTTTAAGTTGCTCAGAGTATTGAGCTTTGGAGTTGGGCATGAGTCTGCTTTTGCTGCATTCTATAAATTCACATTCTGCAAGTG